TTTCATTAATATTATTACTGTGATTTTTTATTTTCTTTAAAGTTATTATTGTTTCTATTAATTTCCATTATTACGACATGGTTTTACTTTCATTATCATTGTACTTTCTCACTCTAATCAATGTTATTTTTGCATTTTCTCTTTCTAATCAAAATCATTATCGAATTTTCATTCTAATCAATTTATCGGTACTTTCTCTTTCTCATCAAAATTATCATCGGTACTTTCTCACTCTAATCAATGTTATTTTTTTGCCATTTTCTCCTTCTAATCAAAATCATTACCGTATTTTCTCATTCTAACAATGTAATTATCTACTTTCTCTTCTAATCAAATTTTATCGTATTTCTCATTCTAATCAATGTAATTATCTTACTTTCTCCTTCTAATCAAATTTATCGTATTTTCTCAAAAATTGGGAGGTGAATTAATTTTCCTCATCATCGCACTTTTCTCCTTCAAATGCAAAATCAATTACAAGTTCTCCACCCCCCTCCCTTCTCATTCCATGAGACTCCTTCCCCCCATCATTCATCCACAACACACTTCCTTCCTTTCTTCTTCTCCTTCCTTCCGATAAGCGACAAACAAACAAACAGACAAACCACGATCAACACGAGGCTGTGCATATTCATGAGGAGATGCCAGCGTTCGCCATCCGTGGAATTTCATTTGCTGGGAATGTGACTTTCTCAAAATCCATCAAAATGACATATAATCTTCCTTATCTTCTTTTTCCTTTCACATTCGTCCGATTTGGGGGGGGGGAGAGGGGGGGAGGGAGAGGGAGAGGGAGAGGGGGGAGAGGGAGGAGAGGAGAGGGAGAGGGAGAGGGATAGAGGAAAGAGGGAAGAGGGAGGGAGGGAGAGGGAGAGAGAGAGAGAGAGGAGAGAGAGAGGGGGGAGGAGAGAGAGAGAAGAGACGAGAGAGAGGAGAGAGAGAGAAAAGAGAGAGAGAAGACAGGAGACAGACAGAGAGAGAGAAGAAAAAAAAAAATGTATTGGTAAATCCTTGTTTGGGAGGAACTGGGAGATTTTATTTTCTAGTTCTAAAAAATAATATAAAATTGATAAATTTAGGAACATTGTTTGTGACGTGGTTCTTGCAAGGTCTTGTTGAGGCTTCTCGTACGTGTGTGATTTTGATGGCAAAAGGATTATTTGGTGATTTCAAAAGCAGGGCCTTGGATGCATACACAAGTACGCATGCACGCACACCTTACAGCCCTCTCATGTTTATGTCTGTCTGTCTGTCTGTCTCTCTCATACCTCATCTGGTTCTCTCCTGTCTCATGTCCTGTCTGTCTCTGTCTCTGTCCTGTCTGGCTTCTCCCTATATCTGTCTGTCTGTCTGTCTCCTCTCCCTCTTTGTCTGTCTGTCCTGTCTGTCTCCTCTCTCCTTCATCTCTCTCCTTCTCTCTGGTCTGTCAGTCTCTGCCCGCGGCCTCTCTCTTCTCCTCGTCTCTCACTCGTCTCTCTCTCCTCTCTCATCTCTTATTTCTTCTCCTCGTCCGTCCTATTCTCCTCTCTCTCTTCTCGCTCTCTCCGTCGGCTCTCTCCTTCTCCTCTCTCCCTCTCCCTCCTCCCTCTCTCTCGCTCTGCCTCGTCTCTCTCCCTCTACGCCTCGTCGTTCTCTCCCGTCTCTGCTCACTCTCTCTCTCTGCTCTTCCATCATCTCTCTCTCATCTACCTCCCTCTCTGCTCGTCTGCTTCTCTCTCTCTCTCTCCTCTCTCCGATCTTCGTCTCTCATCTCTCTCTCTCTTTCTCTCTCTCATCTCTCTTTCTCCTCATCTCTCTTCCCTCAAGCCTCTCTCCCATCTCTCCTCCCCGGGCTCTTCTCTCTCTCTCCTCCATCTCTCTCTCTCTCTCTCTCTCTCTCTCTCTTTCATTCCCCGTCTCTTCTCTCCTCCCTCTCTATCTCCTTCAGCCTCGTCTGTCTCTCCCTCTCTCTTCTCCGGCCTCGTCTCTCTCCGCCTGCTCCCTGCCTCTCTCCCGTCTCTGCTCTCTCCCTCGTCTCCTCTCTCCGCTACCTCGTCTCTCTATCCACCCTCTCTCTCTCTCCCTCTCCCCTTCTGCTGTCTGCCTCTCTGTCATGCTCTCCTCTCTCTCTCTCCTCTTTCTCTCTCTTTCTCTCTCTCTCTCTCATCTGCTCTCTCTCTGCTCTCGCTTCTCGGCCATCTCTATCTCTTCTCTCTCTCCGCCTCCCTCCCTCCTCCCTCTCTGCTGTCTGTCTTCTGTCCCTGTCTCTCTGTCTGTCTCTCCCCTCTCTGTCTGTCTCTGCCCCTCTCTTCTCTGTCTGTCTCTCCTCTCTCTGTCTGTCCTCTCCCTCTCTCTGTCTGTCTCTCCCTCTCTGTTCTGTCTGGTCTGTCCTCTCCTCTCTCTCTCTCTTCTCTCCTCTCCCCCCCTCCCCTCTTCTCTCTCCGCCCCTCTCTCTCTCCATCAATCACTATGATGAAAACTAGAAGTGGAAATTACAGTGACATTACACAACTGAATTTTAAAAGTACGATGATTATACTAAGAGCAGTCATACTACTCAGATAATGGCAAGAACAGAATCACATCACATTATTTAAAATGCCTTTTTCAGATGTACTTTCAATTAAATTAAATTAAATTAAATTAAAAATTNTGTGTGTGGTGGTGTGTGTGGTGTGTGTAATACGTGATTATATTATATATATGTTTATATTGATATGCATATAATTTTCTTAATATATATATATAATATATATATATAATATAATATATATAATATATATATACATATATATATATGTATGTATATGTGTGTGTTTGTGAGTGTAATGATAACGGAAATGTTACTGATGGTGTACCCCATTCTTGTTTATTATTATTATTGTCGGATTTTGTAACGAAACTGTCGTACAGAGAGAGTACTTGAAAAGTTTTGTATTTCTGACGAAGATATGCATCTCTTATTTTGTGAATATATTCTCATTTATTTCATACCTTTCCTACATTCGTCATCAAGAATACGGTTCATAAGATTGATATTCTTTTTGACACATTTTCTGGCGTCTGGGACGTCCATGGTTTCTGTCTCAGTCAAAAAGGCAATGTGTTCCATGGATTTTGATTCTAAACAAAACTTAAAGCGTAAGTAAAAAAAAAAAAAAAAAAAGTCTAGAAACTGATTTTTATATGCGTCTGTGATATGTTTATATAAGAAATCTGTAAAGAACATCAATTCGCTTTTTCGAAATAAGAACGAAATGATTTGTTCGGAAATAAATTAACCTAGCAAGGAATTTAAAATGCTTGTTTGAATGTTTCAGAAATTGTTTTCTGAGGCTGTGCTACGTTGAATGAGCAGAACAGACGTTTTTATTCCAGACGTTTTAGAAAACAGAATGAGGAAAATAATTATTGGATGCTTAAAGGTTTTTGTCTTTATTATTCGTTATGGTGGACTATCTCGGAGAAATACTACATCGATTTGAATTTTTATAGCGGAGGTCTTTTGAAAAAATGTTGATAAATATGAATTAATAATAATTCCAAATCTTTTACAATCACTATAATTTTATTTTACACTAGTTTAACATAGATTTCCACGGGAGGAAAGGAACGATTGCACACCATTACTCCTCAGGAACAACAATTGTAGGCACAGGTGTTGTGAAATCCCCAGGAAGCATTCGTAGAAGATGCAGGCCTCCCACTCCTCAATCTGCAAAGAAAAGAAAAATTAATGGACACCGAAATAACACGTAATGCCGAAATAGGGACAATAATGTGAATACAGAAAGAGGGATTAGAGAAGAGTGAAGGAAAGTGCTTAATGTGTGAATGTATGAGACATGACGAATTCTTCCTAAAGCATAATGGGGAAGGAGCAGAACTTACGCTTTGAGGCGAGCAGGACTCTGCGCCAGAAACGAGGCGGTCGAGGAGGTCAGGACGAGTGTTCGTTAAGGGCGGGAGTCAGCCTGTCCAGGAAGGGCTGAGGGTCGACTGCGTCAGGCCTACCTGAGGGGGGGGGGGTGATAATGATCATGGGAATGTGAGAAAACAGGTCATGTGACTGTAGTCATCTACTTATACGGAGAAATAAAGGTTTACTAATGAAGGAACAAATGTTTAAAGTAAGTACAGCAACCTAAAATAATTAGGTCTTCTCGAGTCATCAAACAAAAGTTTCAATATATAGCATACATTTCCTACACGGCTATCAGCATGAAAATCGAGTGCCTTAAGAGGGCCATGCCCTTGGACTTACCTCTCCACGCTCGCTGCAGGACGCACTGGCTTCACTGCCAGGGTGTTCTCTCGGAACCAAAGAGCGCCAGAGCCTGTGCGTCTGTGGGGCTGAAGAGGAGCTCAGGGTCCACTGGAGAGATAAAGACCCATTAATAATCCCTTTTGTTTTCAAGAACATTTTGGTATAGAAATATCGCCACTACTAATGCCATTATCAACAGTACTGCAGTTATTAACATGAATATTCGATGATTATCTTTATTATGCTCAACCTATCTTGGTTTTTATCACGTTATTTTACTATTTATCATAAGTACTATTAAAGGGGGAAATGTGAAGTATTCTCACCGTCATCGAGATGGCTGAAGCCATTTACATCGAGCATTTCCTGTATATTCTCTCCTTGTTTGTTCATCATGTTCAGTGTGCGAAGAGGTTCTTGCAGACTTGCAGGCTTTAAGAAGACAAGTGCGTTTAGGAAGGAATTACTGCTAAACAAGGCATCATCCTATCTTAAACTAAATTCTAATAATCAATGTTACATAATTTTCTTCTTGCACAGAAACAGCAACACTAACCCACAGAATAATTCAAATAAAAATATGGGGAAACTAGAAGCACTCAGAGAGCGCATACCTCCGCCAAGGCAATAGGGGCAAGATGCAATCATTTAAACAATTCCTGGATCCGAACCATAATCCGGATCACCATAAATTTAATAGCATCTTAGTTGGACTAAGGCACACCTCTCTTCATATCTTTGAGTTATCCTGCTA